CAGTAATGTAACCTCTTTCCATACACTCTACATTGTAAATGTTATTCTCTCATTGAACACCTCACCTATATATATATATATCTATATATATATATATATCCACAAACAAACATAAACTGCTAATTCATAGTGCCATTGCCTTAAAATTGGCATCTTAGTTGGCAGCAGTAATGCAACTTTTGGCAATAAAATCTACATTGTAAAGGTTGTTTTGGCATTGAACACCTCACCTCGGGTATCAATGCATAGTCAAAAGTTTGGTGAGCATTCCTATATACTGTATGTTGTGATATAAACCTGGGAATAAACTAAAATAGCGCATCAGCAGGAGTCTAAATATGAGTAATGTCCTATATTCATATAACTTGATTCTCTGAGCTGATATCTGTTCTCACTGACAGAAATGTACAAGACAGGCCCAAACATGTAAGCAGCCTCCTCTCAGATATGATGGGAGTCATGCAACACTCATCCTATACATTTTGTTTGCATGTGTCTTGGCACACATTTTAAAGCCTAAATTGAGTTTGTGTTATGATGCTGATATTACTTTGTCCTTTATAAAACACAATGCCATATAGGTTATCCTTATAGTAGATTAGCAAAACCATTTATCCTGTCTTTGTCAAATAACCTGTGAGGAAATGAGGAAACAACTTTAGTATAACACAAGCAATAAAACTGCTGCCTTGAAGAAATTTTGTTGAGGAAAAACAGCTGAAATAAATGCTGAGGTCAGTGCCATTTTGCAGAAGTTTGCAGCTTTAATCCACAAGATGGCAGTATACTTTAATTTTTGACAGGTCATGTCATATTTCCTACTAGACATGATGAAGTCTTAGTAGACGGCCTTATTACTTTTCTATTCTTTGACTTTATACAATCTACAACTTTCTAAAAACCAAAGACTTAAACCCACAGAATGAAGCACCCGAGGCACAGTTAAAACATTTGAATATAAATATTTATAGTTCAAACTTTTAAATGAGGTGACTTCCTTCACATGACACAAGTTGAGACGCGAAGTTTCTTAATTTGTTCCCTTCTTTTGTCACTATTATATTCATTTTAACGTTCTCACAGCTATCAGAATGTACACGTGTCTATGGTTCCAATACGTTTATATTTATAACAATATTATTTTATTGTATTTATCCATCCAGTATATAGCGGATATACAAGGAATTGTGTTTACCATTATGATTTTGGTTAACAGTGTCAGGTTACCGCCCTCTCCGTGTCTACATTGCCGATCTTTGGTTATTTTCTGCCCATCTGAGGAGAAGCGGAAGTAGGAACGAGTGAAGCATCTCGCGCTGTTCAGCCCTCTCTGCTCTCCTCTCATCAGCAGCAGCTCCGCCTCGCGACGCGAACCGCTGGCTGGTTCACCTCCAACCGACTCAACCCACATCTGGCTGTCACACACAGCAGTGCTGCCGCTCCGTCCGGTACCGCGGCATGCTCGTATTCACACCGGGACATACGTGGTGGATTTAAAACCGGCGGGGCGCAATGTCTGAGGTTCGAAAATTCACAAAGAGGTTAAGCAAACCCGGGACGGCCGCGGAAGTCCGGCAGAGCGTGTCGGAGGCTGTGAAGAGCTCCGTGGACCTTGTGGTGAGCAGAGCCTTTAATGCAGTTTGTGGACCGGCTGCGGTCATTTTAGCTATAACACGGGTAATGTAACTAACGTTAACCGGTTAGCCAGCTGCCCTCTTCTCCGGTCTCCTTGAGGGGAAATGTCCATTTTCAAGTCGTCTCTACATTGCTACTGTTCATGTTAGTTTTTATGTCCACGTTTGTCAGACTCGAGCTCTGGTAACGTTGCACCGAAACAGTTTTTTATCAGCGTCACTGGCTGAGCGCTACATTCTGGGTAGAAGACGGGTCATTACGGAGCGGTTAAATGCCGCCAATTCGACTCCCATATATTGGCTCGGCTTTTCTAAATTGCCGGCATTACAAAACACTATGACATTGTGCACAGGAACACGTGTGTGTGTTTTTCCAGTCATGTGCGGCTCCTTTTGTGTGCTGGCGGATGAAGAGCAGTGCCAGCAGGACAGCTGCAGCATGGCTTCCCTGTCCTTGTGTGTATGAGAGAGAGCTCCTGTATTTCTGCTGCAAATGGCCACATTATGCAAAAGAAGGCAGTGCATGCATGTTCTTGTAATTTATGTCTATTGCTAATGACATTTGTGCAAGATATATATATATTTTTACGGCTTTTGCTTTCCCCCTCTCCCATTTGAATCAATAGCAGTGCTCGTGGCTGATATAGTGCCTTGGAACAGACAGCGATAATGAGGGATTATAGGCGCAGTGGTTTGAGATGAATGGCACTGAGGATCCTGCTAACACAACGTGTGTGTGTGTGTGTGTGTGTGTTTGCGTGCGCGCCCCCGTGCGTGTGAACTTATTTTCATGTCAGTAAGACTTGACATTTGTCTTGAGACTTCCAGTGATGTCAGTGCAGATTAACTTATTTTTGTTTTAACTAGAAACATCTGGTAACTTCTCATTGTGTGACATCAACCTAAAGCTCAGCAGCAGAGTTGGATAAGTTAGTATGAGAGATAAACTCTTGTTCTCACGGGATTAGTCTGTAGTCTTATGATGATCATCTTGAGGAGTGTGACGCAAAGAGGTCACCAGTGTAATAATCATGTGATATGGTTTTGATTTCCGCAAAAGAGGTGAGAGTGTGTGTGTGTCTTGTTTGTGGCCACGTGTGATGTGTGTGCTCTGATGTTTTTTAGAGTAGCAGGTTTTGGCTGCTCGTTTTATGGAATAAACGGTTGGCTTGTTAACTGAGAACAAACGTTGTTTTGTGTGCGTGTGTGTGTGTGGGGATTCCCTCCGGCATGCTGTGACCATGCTTCCTGTGTGAATGTGTCCATGTGTTCCTCCTGTCATTCTGAACATCTGTATGAAGTCAGTCCTATTCTCTAGGTCCTCCCTTCCTTTCCTCCTGGTTTCACATGTTTCCTAGCAGAGAGTCAAATACGACTTTATAGAAGGAGATGGAAGATTGAGCACATGACTAAAGGTCAAAAGGTGGAGTGACATTTTAACTCGTCAAACACAGGTGTGACTAACGACATCTCTTGATTGCTGCCTTGCGTTGCAGTGATTCCTGGACAGAGCCATCGTTAATGTCATTAGTTCCACATGTGCTTTTTCTTCTCAAGTGAAAATGTCTTAAGGTCTGTGAATCTGATTATTCGGGGGGAGGGGGAGACTGTGTCTTTTTGCTAAAAATTCTAGTGTGAAAACGACAGAAACAAGACGTAAGGGAACCATTTTAGAGGAATGCGCTGTTGCCATATAGGGTGTAGATATGTCCCATTGTCTTTCAAAGCAACAGTAGGACTTGTTCAGCTCATTCATGGAGTGGGGGGCTTTGTTATTTGTCGTTTAGCATCTCTCACCGCCTTACTAAACCTGTATTTTGCCTCTTTATACATGTCCTTGTCCCCACTCCTCAATGCCTGATCCTTGTGCAGCCTTACCTGTCTGAGTTCTGCTGTGAACCAGGGTTCGTCGTTGTTATAACTTGTTGTTATAACTCACCCTGGTGCTTGTTGGAACACCGCTGTCTTCACAGAAGCTGATCCTCTGTGTGCTCATCCAGACTGTTGGTAGCAGTCCTGAAAACATCCCAGTCTGTACAGTCCAAGCACGCCCGAAGATCCTCCATAGCTTCACTGGTCCACTGCTTAAATGTCCTCACCACAGGTTTACAGAGCTTTAGTATCTGCCTGTATGCAGGAATCAGATGGAACATGACACGGTCAGAGTGACCCAGTGCAGCACGAGGGACGGCGTGATAGGCCCCGCTGATTGTGCTGTAACAGTGGTGGAATGTAAACACCGACCAGTATGAATGAAGCGAACTCACGGGGGGAGTAAAAGGGTTTCCAATCATCATCATCATCATCATCATAGTAGTCTTCGTCCCCTGGAGGCAACACTGGTGGGAGTTGTGCTTTGTACTCAGTGATTGGTGTTTGAAGTGTTCTCCGGCCTGGTTGATAGCTTGCGTCACGCAGTTACGCCCAAATGTTAGGCCATGTCCTTTCATGTTTTAGCATCTCTCTCTATTTCTCAATCAGGGAGACGATGGCCTCACAGCTGCCTGCTTGTGATCCTTCAGCGTCTTTCCTCTTCTAGGAAAGCAGAACTCTCACTCTCGCTCTCTCGCTCTCTCTCTCTCTGTAACATGATCAGCGTTGCAGTGGAGCCACTGTGCGCTGCCGGTTGCCTCTGACTTATAGCGCTGCGGTTCAGCTTGTTGCACATGACAGGAAGCAGAGCCGCTGCTTTCGGGTGCAGGGCCCGGTACAGTCATGCATAATGCTTTCAACAGACTCAGTTTTTTATGTGTTTCACTGCAGCTCAGGTTGCTGCTTGTCCGTTCATTGTTCGGCGTTCATGTAAAAATATTTATAAAAAAGTGATGCTACATAATTCAGAGAGGAATCTGCAAACACTTAATTTCCCTTTTTGAAAGTATGATCAGGGTTGGGAAGTTGTGGTCAAAACAAGGAAAAAACTCATGCAGACAACTGAGAAAGCCGGGGTCTGGTGGAAAAATCTGCAGAGAACACATACTCGTAACCAGCTTATTTCACAGGCCAAATTAATGGTTAGAAAACACTGAAAGGGAGAACTTTCTTTCCTTTAGATACCAGGATATTCAAGGAGATTTGAACCCCTTTTAAACCTCACTGAACTAATACTGTACAGCCAAACCGTGTTCAAAACCACAGGGCTTTATTTTCCAAACTCTCAGGAAATGTGGAGTCTTGGGTTGGAAGATTTGACTCGGTGTAAACATCATATAGCTTCATTGAGGAGTTGGAACGAGCTGATACACAACATGTCAGACGGTGTGGAATTCAGAATGTCTGGAAAAACTGCACATCAAGCCTGTGTGGCTGTGGCTCAGCACTGTGGCACAGACGCTGATCACATCCATACGATTCCTCTGCCCGGTGTCGCTCAGCCCAGGCTTATCGGCTAAGCTATTCATCACCCTCGTCACTGCTTGGCTCGAGCTTAAACTTTCTTGGAATTAATTGTGAATCTTTCCAAGTGGTTGTGATCACATCTTGACCTAGAATGCTAGGTTTTAGCCTGTCGGCCCCTTTAAGACATAATGCAGAAAAGGCTGATTTCATATCATCCACTTCTCTATGAAACTCAAAACAGGAAGTTATGATGTTTAGCTCTGACATGTGATATATTTCTTGTGTTTGTTTTTTTCATTATTACATATCATTGTCGAGCACAAGCACTGTATGCAACAGCTCATAACTATCAAGTCAAAAGTCATAATTTGTCCATACCACTGCTGCTTTGTCTCACATTTCTGGCTCCCTTCTGTCTTTGCCCATCTATTTGTTCTCCCTTTCTCCATCGTTTGCCTTTTTTTCCCATCCACCCACAACTCTGAGCAACTGCCCCCCTTCTACCGTGACACTCCTCTGAACTTGAGTGGTTGTTTCAACCTGATTTCTTGTGGTTCTGCTTTTGCACGGGCGGTGAAAGGTTCTGGGGGTGAGCCCTTGTTAACTTCTTTCAAGGAACACGGTCACGTAGAGCTCGCAGGAGCCACAGCAGAGGAATGGACACAGTGAGCCGAGCGTGAGACCAAAAATAAATAGTTTTGTTTACTTGAAGTCACATGTGTTTGTGTTCTGTCCCGTCTTCCCCCTCTCAGGAGCAGCCAAAGATTATTGAACCGCTGGACTATGAAGCCGTGGTGTTTCAGAGAAAGGCCCAGATCCACAGTGACCCCCACCGAGACCTGCTGCTCTGCCCCGTGGACGATGTCTCGGTGAGTCCTCTCCTCCCCGCTCATTTCCTGCTGCGTCCTCTTCCTCCCCGGGATGAACTCATAACCCTCATATTCAGCCAAATCGGCAGCTTTTTTTTTTTTACCTTTCTTGTAAAACTGTCTGAGCCAAACGCGAACAAAGAGCTGTAAAATATCCCTTTTTAAAGAAAGGTTTCCCATCATCAATCACTGTTCATCCCCAACACACCCGGCTCAATTATTTACGGGTCAAACACGATGCAGCCCGGTACCTCTGCTCTGTACTTACTGCTGTCAATTGAAACATGTGGCTTTGTTTAGAGGCACGTCTCGCTCTGCGTCTAGTTTTCTTCGTATTTGCGCCTCCTGCTTCCTCTCATCCACTTTCTCTTTGCCTGTTGTTTGTGGCTCCCTGTTGTCTTAATGTTTGATGGGAAGATTAAAAAAAGAACAGTCACTGTAACGTTGTTTGTTTTTTGCCTGTGTGCACGCAGGAGTCCCAGGTCTCGCGGCAGAGGAGGACCGTCGTTCCCTCGGTGCCTCAGAACGCTGAGTGGGAAGCCCGGAGTCTGTTTGCCAAAGAGGTACGACTACCCAGCAGTCCCACAGCAGTCCCATGTGGTGACCCGGCCACACGCGTTCTCAAACCACACATTTGTAACAGTTTCTAAAGGAGCTTTTGGAGTGAGAAAAATGGCGGGGTCCATAGGTGACATTAAATCGTCTCAGTAATATGACTTTTATTCCTCTTAATAATTACAATCTGCTCAATAAAAAGCAGACATAAAATTACTTCACACAGGCCTTTATGACATTCCGCCTAAAGTGGTCACTCCAAGCTCATAAAGAAAGGCAGAATGCACAGGCCAGTAGTAAACACACTCTGTACGGATGATAGATTGTACCGGCGATGAGAAACAGACTCCTCTGGCCTGACGTGTGGATAAACTCTGCTGCTCTGCCAGCTCTCATGACTGTGATACAGCATGGAAACAACTGTCGTAGGGATGGTGAAAACAGACTCGGCATCCACCGAACAAAGATCCTTTCAGCGGACTTAATTGAGAATTTCTGCGTGCAGTTCCACACTGAACAAGAAGTAATGTGCACAATGAAAACCATCTTGAGCAGTAGCAAGCAGAAGTCAGTTCTCCTGCTACTTTGCAGACTTATTAATAAATAATGAATAGATATGATTAAAGAATAGATGAATGGTATGGAGCTGGTTAGGTCACTCTGCTGCTGTTGCGTGCTTGTTATATTTGAGAGGATCTGCTGCCTCTAATCCAGCTCTCTGTGTTCATGTGTTTGGCAGTGCATCAAGATGTATAACACCGACTGGCACGTAATCAACTACAAGTATGAGGCTTACTCCGGTGACTTCCGCATGTTGCCGAGGTAAGTAAGACATGGGGGACGTTGAGGGCAAAACAAACAGAGGTTTTTTTGCTGCCAATTCTGTAACATGTACAAGAGATTTACTCCGCTCGCTCATGTGGGTCTGCCGGATGACAACATGCAACAAATCGCCGTGTCTGCGTATTAATGCAGCTCTGATGAAACACTGCATACAAACTGAAATAACTGCACAGAGTTCAGACAGAGTTTTCCTCCACAACACAACAGGTGCAGCCCAGATGTTCTGAAGTCATATTTAAATGGTGATAAAGCTTCCTAAGGAAATTATTTCTTATCACTGCAACCTGCACTTGAACCATACATTGAGGTGAAAGAGACATGTGCGTAGCAACACTTTACAAATGCAATCAAAATTCCAGGAATAAAACCCCGATAATACAATAACAGACGAGGTGAAACCAGATTTACTGCCCAACACAGGACATACATAGCAGAGCAGAGATTTGTTGCATGCTTTACAAAGAGGACAGACGTAGCGCGATGGCAGACTGCACCACAGTAGGTAGGGGGGGCTGATTTATTGCAGACTGCTGACCCTCACTCACTGTTCTTTCTAAAGCAAAGGCCTGAAGACGGACAAGCTGCCAGCCCACGTGTTCGAGATCGACGAAGACACCAAAGACGAGGTGAGTAGCGCCGTTAGATCGCAGACATTGATCATTAGTCTGCTATTGAGTCAGAATGGACAGATCGCATACATGCACAGCTTCCAGCGATGTGCTGTAAACCCTGCTTGGAAAAAACAATGATATCCTTTTAATCTTTTTGAATCACGGAGATGTGACATCAATTTGGCTGCATATCCTGAAAATATGAGCAGCCATTGGCAGCGCGGACATGCTTTGAACCGGTGATTGTGCCGTGTCACCTTGTCGCCTGTGACTTATGGTCCGTCCGTCCGTCCGTCCTTCAGTCCACCCAGCAGTGTGACCTCTCAGACTGAGTGCTGGGCAATGAAACCAGTAGCTTTATATGTCCTATAAATAGCCCTCATCGATTCCACCCTCCCAACCCCGGGCCGGATGCGGATATACTTAGACAGAGAGCGGGTTTAATTGAAGGAATATAAATGCTGCTGCCAGCCAGGACGGGGAGAGCAGGGAGGAGATGGCTCTATTAGAGGCCACTCTACTCTTACAGTATCTCTGCATTTTCATTTCTGGCTGTGATGTCTAGACAGGCTAGTAGCAAGACCATTTAAGAATAAAAAGAGCAAACACACATACACTTATGATTAGGCAAATAATGCAATTTTATTATATTTTATCTTGTAGAAATGTTTGCTTCTCCGTGTCCTTTTATAACCTTTTATATCCATCCCCGGGCCACAGCAATACATCAATATTAATGCAGTCAGGGACATTAGGCATTAGGTGACAACGCTAAGTACAGCACCGTTGTTGGTATGAGGCAGGGTGTGGCGTGTTTGTATGGTGGTTTGATGGAAGTATGGACTTGAGCAAGCTGTGGGAGGAGAGCAGCCAGCCAATTAGATTACAGGACAAGGCTGAGGAGAAAGACGGAGACGTGGCGCTCGGCTGGAGGACAAAATGCCACTTCAGTGTGATTAGGCTCATACATTTGTATATGAGCGAGACCATTCCCTTGTGATGGATGTTTGTGGGGTCTCGGGTGCTGATGAACAGTCCCATGGTAGTTATGAGAGGGAAAGGCTGCAGAGACGGGACTGAGGCTGAGTTATGATGGACCCTTTATTGGAAACCAAAGAAATTCTCCTGATGAATTAATTTGGCTATAGAGCGTGTGATTAGAATTTATGGCGTTTTTCACAGACGGAAATATGTTATGATACTGAAGCTGTGGTTAGTGAGCATCTCTCACTACCAGGTACACATTTTCTATACAGATATGGAACTAAATGTTATAAACAATGTCAAAATGAAGCTGTAGAGATTGTAAACTGTCTACAAGAACAGTGACTGTTGTGATTCTTAAAGGGATAATGGGGTTTGTATGAGGTACTTATTGATAGTAAGTGTTTTACCTACAGTAGATGGAGTTTGGAGAAACAGACAGGAGTACCAGCACTTGAGCAAAGCAAGGTACTGCTGCAGACAGTGGCAGACACCTTAAAGAAATCAATATCAGTTTAAGTGTACGCTATATTTAGAATATTTTCACAGTCATGTCTGACAGGGAACTAAAGCCGTTATCTATGCTCTCTCTGGTCAACCCCTGCCTCGATCAGTTTAGTTAGTTTGTGTTATTGTGTGACTTTGGTGGTTTTAAAGGGTTTATTTACAACACAAACAAACTTACCGTTCGGGGCAGCGGTAGACCAGAAACTCCCGTCCACAGCAGCACATTGCTTTGCTCCAGAGCTGGTCTTCCTGTCTGTTTCTCCAAGACCGCCGTCTACTTCAGCTAATACACTGACTAGAGATAATTACCTCCCACAACCCCACTTAAAACAATCTGAACTATCTCTTTAATATGTAGGAACCATTAACCTGAATTAACCTGAATGATAAGGTCTGTCAAGATTGATTTCCTGTGTTTGTGTGTGTCAGGACACATCGTCGATGTGCTCCCAGAGGGGAGGCATCATGAAGCAGGGCTGGCTTCAGAAAGCCAACATCAACAGCAGCCTGTCTGTCTCCATGAGGGTGAGTCACCACCAGACGTCCCGTCTGTTATTCATACAACACGACAGCAACAAATGAAAGAATGACAGCGAAACGTAGCGTTCACCACAGAGACATGGAAACTCTTCGTTGTACTTTGTGGCTTGTACGCTGTTAAAACTTTCTCTGTCATCGTCTGCATTAATCCATACCATCATATTGTATTATATATTATGATCAAGAAACGTTTTTAAATCATGTTAGCAGAGCAACTTAAATGTAGGCAAAACCAGAAGAAGCCACATTTAATGCTGCATTTCTCTGTTCCAAGCTGTTCAGAATCCTAACCCTCTGACTTGCTCTCTACTGCTGTGAATTGCAGGTGTTCAAAAGGAGATTCTTCTACTTGTCTCAGCTCCCTGACGGCTCCTACATCCTCAACTCCTACAAGGATGAGAAGAACTGCAAGGAGACCAAAGGATCCATCTACCTGGACTCCTGTATAGACGTTGTTCAGGTAAAAAAAACAAATGCACAGTTGAGATTAAGGCAAAAGCTGAAGCAACAACCCTTTTTTTTTAGTTTGACAAACTCTTAATGGGATAGTTTGGATTTTTTTGAAGTGGGATTGTATGAGGTACTTATTCATAGTCAGGAGTACGAGAGCAAAGTAATGTACTGCTGTGGTATCCCCCGTAAAAGGTATAAACTATATGTGTATGTTATGTTTAGAATAATAATTATTTTTAGAATAAGAACATCGCTTTGCTCCCGTGCTGGTACTCCTGACTGTTTCTCCAACTTGCCAACAACCCTCTTCAACCCCACTTCAAAAAATCCGAACTATCCCTTTAAGCTTTCATGGTGCCATGCTGCTCGTTTATTTGAACTCCTTTTGGTCTATCTCCCTCTGTGCCTGCTGTGAGTTTTCAGTTTTTGGCACGAGCTCTCGTCCTCGTGAAAGTCAGTGTGTTTCCCTGTCATGGGGCTTTTAGTCGCTTCAATTAGATGGATTTACAGCATTCCAGTGACTTGCTCAGAAGAGTCCCGTTCTAGCAGATTATGAGGGGCTGCTGCTGTTGGCTCATGGCACCGGCTGGTACCTCATTCAGGTCTGCGCTGAGCGGAGAGGCTGCCAGGAAGCTTTCAGCTTGATGAGCACATTCAGAAGTTCATCAATGGGAAGAGTGAGGAGACTCATTCCGGCTGGTGAAGCTTGTGGAATATGCTGTGTTTTCGGTCGGCTGATTTTAACCTTCAGGGGAAATGTTGCGTTTCCCCAAACTATAGCACTCCTCCTATTACCAGAATATAGCCTGTTCTTTATTCCATTGTAAGTGTTTGAGAAAGAAAGTGAAACAAAAAAAAACAAAGTATATAAAATACAATGACTCTTCCCCCCCGTCAGAGCCCTAAGATGCGGCGCAATGGCTTCGAGCTGAAGATGCAGGACCGCTACAGCCACTTCCTGGCTGCGGACAGCGAAGCAGAGATGGAGGAGTGGGTGATCACGCTGAGACAGGCTCTGCAGAGCACCACCGAGGCCAGCCAGGACAGGAGGAATGGTGCAGAGACGCTGGACTGTTCCCTGGGTGAGTTATACCGTACCAACATAGTCTACATATATCTGTCCAGATCATCTTTCAGCCAACCTATTATTTACAGTCTTATTGAAAGGTTGCTGTATTGTCATGGTCCAGTTAGCTATGATAATAATAATAATAGCATGTTTGTGCATAACCTCTGAGCCTGGTTTAGTGGTAGCCAGGGTTAAAGTAATCCATCTCCCTGGCAGTGGAGGGAATCCTAAACTCCCCTCAAAGTAAGAAGTCTGATCCCTGTGTTATGACATTTTAATGGCTTCCAGATTACAATGATACAGAGGCAAGAACTATGCTTACTAATACACATATAGCTGCTACCAGTAGAGAGATAGAAGCTTCCACATCAGCAGTAAATTCTTCTAGAATATAGTCAGCCGTGCAGGTACGAGTATATCAACACCTTCAGCTGTTACCTTTGTTCTTTTCACTCTTTAGTTTCTCTCCCAAATTCTCTCAAGTGTGTGTTTCTTCAGGGGGCTGAGCTGTGGAAGAATACCAGCAGCTTTATGCAGCTTTATGCCAGCATCCACGGGCCCTTTTTCCCTTATATAATAATATACTCTCTCTGCAGAATGTTCTGGTGAAAGTTAATAGGCCTAGCTTGGTCAGAGATGCTGATGAAGGACGGAGAAAGATGGAGGGGCGCTCTGGGTTCACTCAGTCCATCATGTGTCACCTGGGAGTCAGCAGAATAGCGAACAGCCTCGTTTTAATTCGGCCAGTAGACTGTAAGATAGTAGTTCGTCCGTCTGGGAAACACACCTTGCAGACAGCCACATAGGAAGCCATTAGATAGATAGATACTTTATTAATCCCACAAGGGGAAGTTGTTTTGCTCATCAATCATTAGGGAAGCAATGTGTGAGCATAGTGCTATTTGTTGTCAGACTGGGTCTCTGTGCATTCTGATGACCTTTACTCATGTGTGCTCACTGTCCCGTTCGATCAGATGACGACACTACCAGCCAAGGTAAAGGTGAGAGCCTGCTGGAGAGCCTGGGGAGGAGCTTACAACCTGAACTTATGAAGGTATGAGTAAAGGATGGATGGTTATGAGTAAATACAGACAGATTCGCTGAGTTAGTGAGATATAGATATACAGAAACATGTAACGTTATTACATCTCAAGTATATCATCTTTTTAGGGGTCTACCGAATAGTTTGAAGCTTCGAAGCTTCACTCATAACATTGACATTCGAATTCTAAATCAACATTCGTATGCTGCGCAGCTCTTTTTAGGTTCGTCTTTTCTTTTCTTGTTTTCTGCATGTGTCTTTAAACCCGGCTCTGCACAGTGCGTAGGGTGCAACAATTAGCAGTAACTCCAGAAGTCAATATTTGTATAAAAACAAAAATAGAGAAAAAAGATAGATGTAATCATTTTCAGAAATCGCAAAATGTTAATACCTAATGAAATATTCTGCTTTAATCTGTATGTGTTGGCTCTCCTGCTTGGTGCACAAAGGGAGGCACAGTCATAAAATGTGATGACGTCATAAAGGATGACAGACATTCAAAGCTTTATTCAAAAATCTTAATAGAAGCTTTGAAAGTAAAAAAAAAAAAATGTCACGATACAGTCCTACATTTATTGTTGTCTACATCCCTGTGGGCATTTTGTTCATGTAATTATGTTTTATTTGTAAAAAAAAAAAAAAAGAAAAAGAAAAGCTCATCTCTAAAATGAGTCTGAGCTTTGGTACCAGACCACATTCATAATCTCTTGCTCATAAATGTCTGCATGATGGAAGAGCTGTAGCAGAGCAGCTCTTTTGTTGAACTCTTTTTTTCTTCTTCTTTTGTTTGAGTTTGTTTTTTAAGCCTGTGAACAGCAGCGTTTATTCTACAGAGACCGTGCTGTTTTAATAAGTCCATAAAGCCAGATCTACACTCGGACAACAAAGCCCTCTGTGCTCTGTGCTGCTGTTTCACTGCTGTTTGCTCTGGGCCACTCCAGCGCAGCTTCTCCCTCTCCACGCACAAGATCACTGGAGTTTGTCTGCAGGCCGGTCACAGGGAGAACAGGAAGAAAGGGGGAGGAGAAGTGGGGAAGGAGATGGATTAGGGCTCTTACCGTGACCTGAGGGGTTTGATATGTTTTTTCTCCATTAGATGCCCATCTTTTCCGTTTGTCTCGGTCTGTTGATGCTCGTCTTCTGTCTCGCTCGGTGTCTGTTTTTCTGTTGGTTTACCAGCAGAGACAACAGTCTGCGGTACAGGGCCCATTATTGGGCCCAACGGATGACAATAACAATTGGCGAATATGAAATAGAAACATGGCCCTTATATTTCTACAAGCCAGCTTACAATGTGTTGTATAAAGCATCAGCAAACATTAATACCGTATACAATCATTTACCGTCTTTCGTTTTTACTCACTTCCATTCTTCCTCTCTGTGTGTCTGCAGTACGCCAGGGAAACTGACCAGCTCAATAAGATGAACAGGAATGATGGCAGACCAAAGCTTTTCTCTCTGGATCCTGAGACGCAGGTATACAAGACGCTGCTTTTATAACCTGGTTATCCTATGATTTATTTATTTCACTATTGATTCAGACTATTTGATCTCTCCTCCCCTTTCCACCATGTTTACCTCTCCTTTGTCCTCTCCACTGGATCAATCTTTCTCTTCTTGCTGATTTATCTCCTGCCTTCATGCTTCCCTCCTGTCCGATATCCAGAGGCTGGACTTCTCAGGCATCGAGCCAGATGTGAAGCCCTTTGAGGAGCGCTTTGGCCGCCGCGTCGTGGTCAGCTGCCACGACCTGACCTTCAGTCTGCAGGGCTGCGTCAGTGAGAAGGGAGATGGCGTCCTCACGAATGTATGTTGCCGTCTGACTCCCACATGAAAGATTAATTTCATATTCTGCTAATATGATTCTGCTAATACTTGGCGCTACTACTTTCTATGTTTTGCCAAGTTCTACTACCAATGATGAACTGTAAAGGGGTATTTTAGTTTGAATATTTTGAGGTGGGGTTGTATGAGGTCCGTACAGACAGACAGGAGTACAGGCATTTAGAATATTTATAATTAAATAAAGTCAAAACTATCCATTTAACCAATAACTTTTTATAGTCAAATAGATGATCAGAAGAGCTTATGATCAAAAAATAAATTAAAACAAGATTAGAATATATAGATAAATAAAATAAATAAATAGGCACGCTGAGACTTAAAAGACCGTAAAAGTGAAATAATAATAATAATATTTTTGAAAATACGTTTCTTGTGATTTTGTCTGTATGCACTTAAGCATTACTAATCCCAACACACAATCGTCCTTTGCTGCCCCAGAAAGCTCACCTTCATAATTCATGTTGGCCTGTCTGGAAGCAGCGGTAGTGCTTTGTTGCAATACATTTAGTTTATGATCAAATCAGTTTGCATCAAACAATTCCACACACTGAGGTTGCTGCATTGTTTCCCCTTTTTGTTCTTTGAAGCTAGAATCACCTGAGCTTTACATTTTCTTGCTCCAAATAAACAAGAACGTCTGCAAGAAGTCAGTCTGAGTGGCGGAAACGTCTTCAATGTGATTTCCGAAAAGAGCTCCCGGCGGCATGAGACAGCAGTTTAGAGCGTGTGTGAGCACCAGCTTTGTCAGAGGGGGTTGCTGCAGTCATAAAACATTGAGTTGCTTGCTGGTGCATTAGAGAGGCTGGTAGGAGAAGAGAACTGACTCATATTCGTGGTTTGGAAGCTCTCTCTCTTTCCCTTCCCTCCGTTCCTTCCACAGCCTCTGATAGCTTTAATGTTTCTTGGATGGAGTCGGGCTCATCCAACATGCAGGAACCATCCGTCATTCAAAAGTGTGTGTGTGGCACCACTGTGGAGCCAACGTTTGCTTCCAAACTAGGGATGAGCTAATATTTGTTTTAAGAGGCTGATATACAGAAAGGCGATGATTATATGATATTAATCCTCACATAGTTTGGCTCAATTCTCTGTCACATATTCCATAAACATTTGTGCATGTAATAAAACCCCTACTGAAGCAAGTTAATGCATCCAAATGTTAGGTGCTGGATAAAGTTAGCGTGAAATGTGATGTACAGTAAATGAGTCCAGGGATATTATCGCTTAACATCCTTTAACCGTCTCTGTGCTGGACCCCAGGTGGAACCGTTCTTCATCAGCCTCGCCCTCTTTGACGTCTCCAAGAGCTGTAAGATCTCGGCCGACTTCCACGTCGACCTCAACCCGCCCTGCGTCAGGGAGATGCTGACCGACGCCTCGGGCCAGCTGTCCCCTTCATCCGACTCAGAGGGCGGAGGAGGAGGAGTCAGGGAGGGAGGCGGGGGAGGTGGAGTCATGGTGAACGGAGACTCCGCCAGAGGGAACGGCCTGCCCGTTCTCCAGAGGGTGTCGGAGGCTCTGCTGCGCTTCCCCACACAGGTAGAAACTAGGCTGTGATTACAGAGCTGTGTGATTGAGGAAATGACTCACTGATAGTGAGCAGCCAATCAGAGGAGAGTGTGAAAGCTGATTCATCGTTGTGTCATTCAATCACACCTTGATCACACAGATCAAGGTGTGAATAACACAATGTGCCATCCTTTTAGTCCATTAGTGTCTTCTGAAAAAAACCAAAAAAAAACCTAATTGGCTTAAATTCATTTTTATATTCATGATACTAATAAAAAAAAAAAGTGAGATTGTTTATCAGTGTTTTATATCTAGCAAAATATGACTGTAGGAAATAGGAGAAAAAAGAGTCAGTCAACTGGTAGCTGATTTGATGGGTAAAGAATTCATCAAAACAAGATTATAAAAGTGATGTAAAAGATGATGGTAAATTTGCAATTACAAATTTTTGAAGTTACAACATGAAAGATCTCAGTTTCGTTCTCTTTAGCAGCGCTCACAGCGATAAGCGGTAATTGCAGGTGTGTTTTTGGATCGCCAGAGAGCCAAGCTGTGTCGCCACAGACACCCAGTTCATAATTTTGCCACAGACTCCTTCACAGTTGTTACCTCATTGGCGACAGATAGTGACATTTATTTAAATTAAAATCTTCAGGATTATTACTTGAAGGCAAGCTCCTTTAAGTTTTCTTTAGTCTAAATAATACAGAGAGGTTTGCTGTGTTTTATCTCTGGGATTGGTTTGTACAATTACAAACTAAAGCCACCTTGACTCTGCTGATGTAGCTTGCTTATTAGACTGTCGTCCTGTCATATTAGAGGTTTTGTGTTTTGTGTTTTACTGATTCCTAAATCTCTTTTCTCTCACGTTCAAAGCAATTACACATGAAGAACTGGCTGAAAATGAGCGTTCGTTCAGACTGTGGTTCGCTCTCCCTCTGTGTTGTTTAGGTCGAGCTGCTGGGAGTCAGATGTTAACGACTTTGTCTTTGTAACTCTTAATCTTAGTGTTGTTTCTTGCCGTTTGTTCAGATTGTGTTCTTCTTGTGACAAACCTCTCTTAAAGTTGCTTCAGAAACAGTGAGTTAATCAACATCACCGAGCAAGAATGCCCTTTTATTACCTCTTTTCCATCCTAAACACCAATAAACTGACAACTTGAAACACCAGCGAGAACCTCTATGTGCTGTGGTTCAGAGGGTTGTATTTACAGGAAACCCCTCTGTGTGGTGTGTCCTCAGAAGAACTTTCAGTACCGCCTCTGAAACAGAACTTAGGATTTACAAAGTGAATTATCACCAGTGGAACATTAGTCATACCCTACATTTTCTAAGCCAGGTCAGGTTGCGTTTGAAGGCCGTCCTCAGTCCTGCCTTGCTTTGAAAATGTCGTCACACAGCTCAGCGAGGTGACACACTGCTGAGTTTCAGTAATGGGGCTCAGCGTTCTCATGCTGACTGCAGCTGGTCTGGGTGGGACAAGGGATTTGTGACCGTTTGACGGATTCCCTGTCCTCCTCTTCCTCCTGACATCATGATAATGGAGCTCTTTATCCAAATACACGATGAGGGTTTTTCATATTGTCTGATCTTTCCCGTGCTGTGCTTTCATTTTTCATACTGTTGTAGTTTTTCCAGATGGTGAGTGTCTCCAGACGGTGCTTGGTTCATGTCCAGCCTATAAAAACTTGAAAAAGGATCCACGGGGCCTCAGTTTAGCTCATTCAGGGAACACTTGCGAGTGATTTCAGGATCCCTTAGGTCCACCAGTTTTATATCAGCCAAGTGCTGCTCGGTGATGTAACTTTTAATGTCGCGTCACTTTCTCTGTGTTCGCTGTGTTTTTAGTGGAGAGTTTATTTTGGAAATGATAATGGCCGTGAGTGAGTGTTACTCTTGGCTCAGGCAAACTCCTGCAGGTGCTGTAAGGTGCAAGTACACGCACACACACACACACACACACACACACACAGTCTGTTACTCACCTCTTGGCCCGTTAATATGATTTACTCACTCAGCAAGACTTGTGCCTGTTGTAAATTATCAGCAGTTATAAAACATACTCAGATATTCACTTTCTATTACGGTGATATGTGTCATTACTGGGCTGTGAGGAGATGAATAAGAGAGAGTCAAACAAGTATTTGAGGCAGAAGCAGTATATTTTTTGCTGTTTTCTTATTTCAGATATTTTATTGAGCCGAAGAAGATAATGCATACAGTATATTGTCACTGCTCATTATATGAAAGAATTATATTCATCTACATTTACCGACATAAAACAGATGATATAAAAGATATCGGATTGTATGAAGAATAAGCAAATTAAAAAGAGAAAAAAAAAGTATAAAATATATGTGTATATACTAAATAAAAGAGACAAATCTAAGAAGGTAACTGGGAACCTTTATCTCCCCCTTAGTCTTCCTTATCTTCCTAAACCTCTGCTGTGTTTGTAACAGAGACTGCAGCAGTTGGAAAGCTGCCGACACAAAGTCAAAGAGCCGCCCCAAGTCTCATTCATGGACGTAATGCTACATTATGCCAACCGCCATCTGTGAAAGTGCCACACCGGCAGAACACTTGCATAGAAACACATGCATACAAACAGAGCGGCCTCCGCCTCTGTGATCAGTGTGCAGACCACAGTTTAATTTAGGTGCATTGGGTGTGGTCCAAGGACGGAGCCTCCCGCTCCCACAGTGCTCCTCCTCACCAGCAGCTCTCGGGAGCCCACAGCTTCTGTTCCAGTTCATGACATAATTCACAAATCCAATGCATTTGTCTAAGTGCGAATGTTTTGGGGGGGGGGGTTCTCCAAACTACAAACCGGCGGTTGTTGTTCGTGAGCTATTCTAGGAAGTATGATGTTGAATTAAGGAGCCTTGTTTTCTACAGACGTTGTGCGGCAACAAATGTGCAAGATTGCAACTCAAAGCAGCTGCGTGGTTGTGTTAAAACGCTGAAGACCAGTGATTGAGGGCGGAGGGACAGGGTTATGGCTTGGAGTGCAACCAGGAAGTGTGTCTGTGCTGCTCTCACTCGAAGATGTGTATTATTGATGTGCAGGTTGTGATGTCTGCATCTATTTTGATTTAAAGCCGCATTAGCCGCTGAGACGGTGCCACCGCTCCCTCGGTAGACTCGCTCAGGTTTACGCTGAAACTTTTATGATTTTTATGAGCTCATGTATTAATATGAGCAGCATGGTTTGTCCGAATGTAATCTCTGTCCCCTCCACATTGTTTGTGTGAACTGACACTACAAGCTTAAAAGACGGCCCCATCTCACCAGACCACAAATAGATGTGAGCGCCTGTGTGGTTTTCCTGTAGAACCAGCAGCCACTTCCCCTGCACTTGTAGAGAAGCAGTGGATGGATTTACGACTGAAAAGGCATTTTGAGTTTGAATTGCTGCTGATGATTGCCAGTCTGCTGATACAACCACAGATGTTGTCGTGCACTATGTCATGGAGTCCCTCCTATAATCAGCTCCCTCGCTCCATTTCTCCCTCTCTCTCTCCTCCAGGGGATCTTTTCAGTGACCAACCCCCATGCAGACATCTTCCTGGTGGCCCGCGTGGAGAAGGTGTTACAGAACGGCATCACGCACTGTGCCGAGCCGTACATCAAGACCTCCGACATCAACAAGGTCCACTGCCCCCCCCAAGCTTTTCACCTCATTTAAAGACATACACACAATGAAAGCAGCGCTGGTCTTTGTGTTTTCTGCTCCGTTTTGATTTTGCGTCCTCTGTTTGTCTTGTCACCGTGTCTCCGCAGACGGCTCAGAAGGTGCTCAAAGCTGCCAAGCAGACATGCCAACGCTTGGGCCAGTACAGGATGCCGTTTGCCTGGGCTGCCAAGTAAGACAGGAAGAACCCACGAGTCAAAATATTACTGGAGTCATCTTCGGAACAGCCTCATACAAATGCATGAAAGATAGCATTATGATGAGATGGTTCATTGGGGTTAAAGTCCATTCCTCTGTTATGTACACGCGCTGTGTAATGTGTCCTCAGGCAAGTGTTCAAAGACGCCCAGGGCAGCCTGGACATGGACGGTAAGTTTTCTCCTCTCTACCGCCAGGACAGCAGCAAAGTCTCCACTGACGACATCATCAAGCTGCTGGCCGACATCAGGAAGTGAGTCATTAGCACGCTTCTGCTATTTTAGCCCGTGCTTAGGTACTGTGGCTCAAAACACTCATCCGCTTGCACATTTATGCATGTCAAATAGCATTGCTCTGCATTACAACACAAACTTTTGAGGTCACCCCGTAAATAAATAACACTTTTTAAATGTAGAAAGTGCTTTATTCAGACTTAACTGTGTCTTGTTGTTGTTTTGAATCTCTTTTTCCTCGTCAGACCTGAGAAGAGCAAGCTTCAGACCATCCCAGGACAGCTGAATGTCACCATTGAGTGTGTCCCACCTGACTTCTCAAGTATGTTGTCGCTTGTAAACGCGCCCCTTATTCTAACATTTGTTGAGTCTTAAAACACACATCACTGAACAATGTACAATAGACCCTTAAAGACAAAAATGTCCCCATTGAAACACATTTAAACGACTACTTTTGATTAACGGGCGTTTCCACCAGATTGAGTCCCTTCTCTTGTTTGCTCTACATACATTCTATTTTTCTGGTTTCCAGCACAAAAACTACAAATTCATCTAAATCGAATTTGTTCCTATTTTTATAGCAGTTTTAGGAAGGGGGCATTTTTGTCGTTTAAGATAAATATAAGATAAAAACTAGCATTTAGTAAACACAAAATAATTTAATTTATGTGTTTTACTAGTGTCAATAAATAAAACAGCTGGCATTTAGAGTTAAAATTCTGAAAGTGAATGAATATTTGGTAGTTATGATCAGGACTGAAGTTGGTTAAAGGATTAAACTCTGTGAAAGTGGAAAACAATATTAATTTATAATTGTATGGCAGCTATTGAAGGACATCGGAGCATCTTTTAAAAAAAAAAGAGGCCACGAGGTTTGGTTAAGATAATTAATATTAATATGCAGCCTAAAACTATGTACGTTTGATTTACAAGGTCTCATCTGTAATCAATATCAGTATGTGTGTTTGCACTGACAAGCAGTTTGGGTATTTGCAGTGTACTTCACTCACATATATACGAAATGGCGATGAGTTCGGTGTTGGCTCTGGAAACGTGAACACAGCGTTGGAGGTCCGGTACCCTGACTCCTGCGTTCTCTCCTCCAGATACGGTGACTTCCTCTTACGTTCCCGTCAAGCCCTTCGAGGACGGCTGTGAACGGGTGTCGGTGGAGGTGGAGGAGTTTCTCCCCGACGAGGCCAAGTACAACTACCCCTTCACCACCTACAAGAACCAGCTGTACGTCTGCCCCCTGCAGCTCAAATACGACAACCAGAAGACCTTCACCAAGGTGTGTGGCTCCGAACGAAGCTGGGTCAAAAGTTCATATGAATGATGAAAATCTCTCAGCAACGATTGTGTTCTGTGCTATTGCTGCCTCACGCTCACTCTCACTGATTCTCTGCTCTGCTGTGTGCATTGACTGACTGACGTCATGTTTCCACACCAGGCGAGAAACATTGCAGTCTGCATCCAGTTCAGAGATTCAGATGGAGAAGGTACACCCCCTTTAAAGGTGAGTTGTATGAACTGTATGTATATAGTGTAATATGTAGCGATACTCACACTTGACATTATTCCCAAAATATTACAAGTTAAGACTTTATTCTGGAAATGTTACAACTTTTTTATTGTAACTTCTGATATAATTATTTTTCTTAAAGAATGATAATACCTCATCTTAGATACAGGGAACCTGTATTTTGCCTCTTTATACATGTCCTTGTCCCCACTCATAAATGCCTGATCCTTGTGGAGTCTTAGCTGTCTGAGTTCTGCTGTGAACCAGGGTTCGTCGTTATTATAACTCACCCTGGTGCTTGTTGGAACACAGCTGTCTTCACAGAAGCTGATGTATGACGTCACATCCTCTGTGTGCTCATCCAGACTGTTGGTAGCAGTCCTGAAAACATCCCAGTCTGTACAGTCTAAGCACGCTTGAAGATCCTCCATGGCTTCACTGGTCCACTGCTTAAATGTCCTCACCACAGGTTTACAGAGCTTTAGTATCTGCCTGTATGCAGGAATCAGATGGACCATTACGTGACATGACACACTACAGACTGCCAGGAAGAGGGAGGAGTGTATTCTATAGGTTTTTGATATTTCTGTCAAAAAGCATCCTCAGGACGATATACATGCACAAATAGAAGAACATATAATCGCAGAAAATACAGTCCAGATAAAGTTTAGACTGAACAAAGGACGATCATGCAGAAGATAGATGAGTAGATGGATGGTTGGGGAGGATGAACACAAGCACGCAATTTATTTCCAACGGACTCCCAGGAGCCTGAAGCAAAGGTCATGAGAACTTTCAGAATGTCCTACGTGAGATTTGATCGATGGCAGCGGCCTCAAACACGATTCGTTTCATTGCTTTTCACAAAGTGGAAGTCGGAGTGCAGCTGAGAGGCCAGAAAAGGAGAGAGGAAATGCTTACAGAAGCTGGTTATTATAGCTGGCAGGAGAAGATAATGTATGGTCACTCTTTTCCTCCCTCCTCTTCCTCGCTCTGGCTCTCTGGCCACACATGTCAAATATTTGTGGGTGGAAACTCTTTCCGCTTTCCACAAAATTATTTTTGACTGCTACCGCCAAAGCATTTGCACTTGATGCCCGTGATCGAGTCAGCCCAGACGGGCAGATAAGCATCCAGTCATGCGTGTCATACCTCAGATACTGCACAGTCTGGTCTCGAACAATGGCTGAAGTGCAGCGAGGCCGCATAATGAGTGGGAGCCAGCGGCACACCTCTCAGCAGATTTTAATCAGACGCTCTGGGTTTTTACATCTGACTGTGAGGACATTCTTTTGGAGCTTTGGGGAGCAGGAACGTGGAAGTTCAAGAAGATGGGGTTTCCCAGAGGCTGTGAATTTTTCAATACATTGAACATCAGCTGCATCTAAACTGTCATAAATAGTCGTTATGATCTCAGGTTTGATTCTACCTGAAGCTCAGTGCAGCCGGTTAGAAAACGTCCTGTTTGGTACGGTACATGTTTGAACAGGACAGCCTCTGTGACGGATAAGATCCGAGGCAGCTCCCCCACTCACGCCTGGACCCTCATCCTGATTCCCATCAGCCCCCTGTGCTTGCTGGGCCCCTGAGTGTGTTTCATCTACCGCGTGCCGCCTGCAGCCCTACCGCACCTTGTGACTGCAACAACAGATCTTTGCTGAAATCTGTGTAATCCCCCCCATTCCCTCCCTCCTCCACCTTCACCTCCACCTCCTTCCCCCGCCCGACCTGACAATTTGAACCTTGTCCTCTCTCTCTCTCTCTCTCTCTCTCTCTCTCTCTCTCTCTCTCTC